TTGTAGTGGTACTGCCGCTGCCGCTGGAGACTTGAAGTTCTTCGAAATCCTGGATTAAGTTGTCGGCTGCTGCAATCCGTGCATATTCATGCAATGTCTTTTCGCATGTATAGAACCAACCTTTTCCTCGAAGTTGAATTCTTATTTGACGAGTCCAGCGTTCGTGATTCTCTTGAGTGAGAGGAGGGATGCGCTTGGAGTAATCCTTGGATCCAGTGTCTTCGTTCATTTTGAAGGTTCTGCAAGTAGAAAGCTTGCGTCGATGACCTAGGCGTGATTGATGGTGGAATGAAAGAGTGGAAGAGGAACTGTTTAAGACTGCGCTGTCCCGATTGGGATGTACTAGTGTTTGAAGGGAGAAATTCTCTTCAAGGCGGGGTAATTAAGAATAGTGAATTTTGATTTGTAGATAATGATTTTTGAAGTGATATCGAACACTATGTAGCAGGTGATGCTCTTCAGCGTTAAGCTGGAATGAATGGTCTTTTCAGTAATAACTCGTAGTTTTCTTGCTTGAGGAAAAGGCGCGATGTAAGTGGTTACTTCGCTGTCGCTGCTCAGCAATCTGTTTGCTGTGCGCACCTCGTATGTTGACGTCGCGTTGCGTAGGAGCTTCTCGTCGTCAACCTCTCCTTTGGCAACGTAAGCTATTCAAAGAGCTTTCGGCCTTAGTCTTACTGCAGAGCTACCGGGCTCATAACCTGTTCACAATAAAGGAGCAGGCCAGTGGAATGCATGTATTATTGACTATGTAGATTAATTGTACTAAGGTAAAATCTAACTACGAAGTGGAAGTGATATATGCACAGTAGCTTAGAGCACGTGCCACAACTTCCAACAATAAGATTAATTGAATAATTAAAGGATAATGATATGAATTATATATAATATAATGTTAATAGTTAGAGTTTAAATAATATCAATAATATTAAGCTGAGCTAAATATATGTTATCAATTAGAGAATATAATTATATATCAATAAATATAGAATAAAAAATAATTCATTAAAGGCTAAGAACAGATTTAAAGGCTAGTATTAACCTGAACAAGAAATAGAAGATTATTAATATAAATAATTATACCCTATCAAAATCTAAATAGGAATCTTAAATATACTAAAATAAATAATATCTGAAATAATAAATAGAGAGAAATATAGTTCAATTGGCTTTTAAAACTCTACAAATCGATTATAAATCAATATTTATAAGAATAATTTATTTGAGAATTCATATTTTTGTTAATTTTATAATAACTTGAAAGTCAAATAAGGGAATTGATTATTTGTAATATTATAACTTTCAAACTTGATTTATATTGAAGATTGATGATGAATTAAAGAAAACAGAAAAGCAAAAAATAATCCTAAACTATTGAAACGATCTAGATTTTTTTATCTATATATAACAATATAATATACTACCTCCTTTTTATTATACTATATTAAGTATAGAATTATTACTATTATAATAATTGTAAAGCTTTATTTGATAATTTCCATTGATTTTAGTATAATTTGTAATAAGTTTCCTATATTTATAATGACTGATACTAATTAATTACAATTCTAGAGAGAATATTTAATAAAAGCTCCATAGAAAACCTAACAAGGATTTCCTTTATTAGTATGAAGGAAATATTATATATTATAAAAAATTAGGGTGTCGAAAATGAAAGCAAGAAAGTATATTCAAAAGCCATAATCAATTGAATATTAAGTATGATAATGTGTATAATGATATGGAATGTAATTGAACATAAATTATTAATGAAAAGGTAAGGTTGTATTATATAAATAAAAAATAAAAAATAATCTAACAAAAGTTAAAAGTATATTGAAAGCCTAATTAAATAGTCTTAATAAGAAATTTGAGGGTGGTAAAATAAATATTAAAATAGAAAACAAATTCAACCATGATTTTCTTAAGATTAATAATGTCTAAAATAATAAATAAAAAGAAGACATAAAAAGTTGTAAGAAAATTTTATATGAAATTAAAATAGTAAGGGATATAAAAAGTAATATTGGATTTATATAGAATTGTATAGGGTTGTTACGATGGGTAACAGAATGCCATGTGACAAGTGTCACGTGGTGGAGTCCCCAGGAGCCAGGGCTCCAAGGAGGTCCTTGGGAGCCAGGACTCCAAGAAACTCCAACCAACATCAGAGTACGAAGATCTATATAAGGGAATGGGATTTCATTACAATGTAGAGCTTCGTGCTCAAGAACAATCATTAGTTTCATTACTATAGTTACGAGAATTGCAACCAGTTACAACCTTATTGAATTCCTACTTGAAGTCTAGTCTAAACCACCTCGAGAGATCTCTAGACACTTCCACGTGACCCTAGAGGCAGCTCCCGTAACAAGGGTTTAGGATTTAGTGGCCGTATAGTAAATAGTGGTATAATGGTCAATGTATTAAGCGGCATATTCTCTGATTAGGAAGCTGCGGTTTCCTGAAGCAGAATCACTCACATTCATAATACTATAAAAATTAAAGTTATAAAATAAATTGAAAGGGATTAAAAGAATGGATGGTTATATAAGTAAAAGAGATATTAATTAGAAGGATATAATTCAGCGATTTTAGAGAGTTGTTAATGTTGGAATAGAAATTATGTAATTATATTAGTGTTAATACTAATATCTTTCGATATTACAATAATATATTTTATAGTTTTAGCTTTTAGAACCTTAAGTAATATAACAATAATATGAACCATAGTACTATATTGACTTCATTATCCTCATGGTGATACTAACAATTATCAATATTATTAATATTATTAAATTAGACCAATACGTATTAAAGTGAGTAATACGACTTTTATACTTACGCCTGTACATAATGTTACCCTAATATCAGCCACCGTATTACTATCATATACTAATTACAATACTGGCTCAAATTTAGAACAGCAAAAATCCACTGGCTCACTATCACGGGGCTCCGCAGGCATGGATTGACCCTAACTTTGATCGAACTAATCCTTGGCACTCAGATTTGGACAACATCATGTTCTGATTGTAATTTACATGAGAATGAATATCCTTTTTCTGAATCCTTTTTGAGTGTATCTGAAGTGTTGTGCCTTCGGGTTTGATCTCTTATGCTAATTGTGGAATTCCGGGTTATTTCAGTTCTTTATTAGAAACTTGGGGGATAATATTAGATGGCTAGCTTATGCCATGAGCTGGGCTGGTGTGCTGCGTGGGCCGGATATACAGTTTGTGTTGGAATTAAAGTCAAAATTCTAAAGTTGTTCTCCAATCTAATAGGTTTATAACAGAACGCGTGCTTCAACAACAATCTTTTCCTAGCAATTACAGGTATAATGGTGAAATTGCAATGTGACATTCCATGCGCGAGTTACGACAAGTGTTCTTCTATTTTGAAAGTATTCCCAAATTCATTCGACCACTCAACACTTTCAATTTCTCAGTTCGATTCAAATGTTGAAATATTAAAATGTGTTCAGATTTTTAATTGTTTTTAGACATTCAAACCCTTGTATTATTGGATTGCAGTCCGGACTACTGGATACCCTGACTGGGCGAGATTGACAATACCGCTGGTTTTTCAAGTTCCCTAATTAAACTAGCAAATCATGATAACTTAGATATACTCTTCAATCGGTTTGCACATCTGGCTTTCATATGAGATCTCGTCTCGATTGTCTCTAACCGCAAACTTGTAAAGAAATAGTATCACGTGCATCTTGGTCTTCTGACGTGCTTCTATATTACCTACAATCGAATTCAAAGTTGAGCGTAAGACTTAATACACTCATGTGTCGAAGTTGAAGTTTTATCCATTAGATTCAAAGCAATCTTGTTTTCTGTTTCCTAACTTTCGTGAGGAATTGGTAGGTGTCATATCAAGCTACTTTGCTTGTGAATCAGTAGGCTGCCGGCATCAGCTCAGCAGATGACACACCTAATCAGATCACTGTAATGAATCGAAGTATAAGTAATGAAAAGAAGTCTAAAAGTGTTTTGAGCATCAACTAATTTAGATCTCTTTACTCCTCTGTCGAACGCAAATTCACTTCTCAGAGGATCAGAGAATTTGAGGTTTGCGAGAAGATGTCTTCAGAAGGGCGTAAATGCTCAAAATGTCCCAACGCACCAGAGAACACTCAGCACAACACACATTCCTGCAAGAGACCTTGGCCATTTTGGAAAGATCAAGTTTGTGATAATTGTTTCAGTCCTAGTCATTCATGTTCTCTCTGTCCCAAGAAGACCGATAATCTTGCTATTTGTAGCATTTGCGGACATCTGCATCACAAAAAAGTTTGTCCTTTCAGAAGAACTCCTGATTCGAAACAATATACGAGAGAGAAGTATGAAGCATTCATGAGAAACAATCCCCCAAATAATCCCTCAAATAATCAGCCACATGCAGTCCCGTCTACTTCATCTGCGGGGCCTTCGCAAAGTGTCTCCTCGACCGCAACTTCTGTACCACAAGTTCAATCCCCTCCAACTCAAGTTCAATCCCCTCCAACTCAAGCTCAATCCCCTCCAACTCAAGCTCAATCTCTCCCACCAGGCTCGGTAAGATTGGTCGAGAATTTCATTCCACCAGCAAAGACAGAAAAGGAAGTTGAAGAAATAAAGCGGGCAGGTGGTTTCCAGCAATTGGTCAATCGTCACGCGACAGCTGTAAATGTTGAAGCTAGAGACGCCAATTTGCCTGATCCTGTTCAGGCCAACTACTTCAGAGTCACCTTCAACTCCGATCTTGATTTGCGGAGATACAGGATTAAAATGGATAAAATCAATGAAAAAGATGTTGTCTAGCGTGAGCTTCGTCGTACCTTGATTAAAGAGCTACTCCAACAAAACTCTCCTGCAGGAATATGGGTTTCGGACTATTCGGAGTACATTGTCTCTGTCGGCAAGCTTTATTCAGTGTTCACTGATGTACCAGGAGCGACCGTCGAAGCTCTTCATCATCGTCCTGGTCGAGATCGATCCTTGGTCCCAATGTATAGCTTGATCATTTACGAAGGCCCTTTCCAAAGAGATGCTTTAGACACACATATGTCTTCGAGTGATTCATCATTCTTACCAGATGCGGATCTTAGGATGTTGAACATTATTTCGTGGTTTCAAATTAACGGCTACGATCAACAGCATCCACCAATTTTTGATGGCTTCCGTGTGGGAAATAGATTCTATCCTGCTGTTGGGGGCGTGATTCCTGACCACAAGATTCCATCAGCGCATGAAACGATATTCTTAATAAGAACTGGATTCTTTACCTCGATGCGGCCAGCTATTGGATCGGTGCTGTTGAATGTCAACACCGTAACCTCAGCCTTTTTCCCTCCAGAAATACTAAGTACTTGGATCAAATTGCGTTGGGAACAAGAAATTCCACCAGTCAATGAACAAACTGACCTTATAGGCTTGCGAGTCACTTTCAGTGGCGACGGCCCAATTTCTAAAACTAGAGTCATTCGTGATGTCAATAGTTTAAATATTAGTCAGGTCAATTTCACGCCTAAAAACGCCGATGGAACCCCGGGCCAGGTCACCTCTGTTTTTGACCACATGAGAAACAGTAAGTTGACCCTTTTAGTGGTTCGTATCGACGTCACATAAACCTTTTGCTAAATTGTACAGAGTATCACTTGTTGACATTCAGACCCACTAGCTGCTGCTTGAATATGGGGACAACAAATGATCCGAAATGGTACCCCGGCCGATAACCTGCGGATTGTTGCGGGACAAATTTTCAAGAAGCAACTTCCGGAATATTTGGGCAGCCTAATGATAAAGATTGCTCAGAATCTGCCTGAAACTAACAAGAGGTTAATTTTAAACGGGGCATTGCCTTCTCTGGGAATTCCAGACTAACGAAAGTAGCAATTCGGCCTCAGTATCAATAATGAATTTGAAGAGGTCGTTCCTAGATACCTTCGTCAGCCCATACTGGAATTCAAGGGAGGTTCCCTGTTTGAAATATCCATGCAACCAATGAACAGATCTTCCTGGATGCTTAAAGATAACGGTCGCATCTTCAGGTTTGCCGATACTGGAAACTCGATTTCTAATCTGCATATCATTCGACTCGATGTCCCCAAGAAAGCTCGAGCAGACCAAGTGACCAAGTTTGCTCGAGATCTCCGAAGGAAAATTGGAGACTATGGTGTCGCGTTTACAGGCAATGAAATTATCTTCGACGCCGCGTTTTCGCGAGATAGGTCGAACTTTTGTGTTGGACTTAATGCAGCCCTAGCAGCTTTACGTTCAAGAAATGGTAACAGATACCCAAGACTGCTTCTCGTAGTAGTCCCCGACAAGAACATACGTACCTACGCAAATATAAAGTGGTGGGGTGACTGTGTCGCTGGTATCCCGACAATTTGCATCACCAAGGGTGTGCTTACCAAGGGGAAGCATACCAATCGTGGAATTCAATCGGACATTGGAGTTATCTCTAATATCAGGTCTGTTTTACGAAACTAATTCAATACTAATGTCGATGCTAATTCTTGACTAGTCTCAAGATAAATTTCAAATTAGGAGGCGTTAGTCATTTCCTTAACGACGGGGCAGGTCAAAGAATCCTCTGGGCTGGTGCGAAGGCAAACACGATGATCGTTGGAGCGGATGTTTCGCATGCTGGTAAAGGTAGGGATGCCACGTGCCCTTCGATGGCAGGGGTCGTAGCCACTTTTGATCAGCAGTGCTCTAAATACTCTGCATCCGCTCGCCTCCAAGAGAACAACACCGAGGTATGTACTATTAAGCGATCAATTGCAACTGTTCTAAGATTAAACCTAACATAAGAGATGTAGTCAATTGCCGACCTTGCGGATATGATTGGAGAGCGTCTCGATAGGTACTACGCTGTCAACAATGTTTTGCCTGAACACATTCTATTCTATCGCGACGGTGTCAGTGAAAGTCAATACGGGATGGTTGTGATAGACGAGATTCCTCGCATCAAAGCTGGATGCAGAGCGGCCGGTGCAAGGAATGGGCAGGTACAAAATTGGTGCCCAAAGATCACTCTTCTCGTGGTTGGAAAGCGCCATCACACCCGCTTCTTTCCCAAAGTAGCGAAAACTAAAAAGTTTGACAGCAATCTTCCGTCCGGCTTGCTAATTGATTCAGGGGTCGTTACACCTAATCATTTCAGTTTTTATCTTCAGAGCCATGATAGCGCACTTGGATCAGCAAGGAGCGCCCATTACATTGTAATCATAAATGAGAGTGATTACACACCGGAAATTATTCAAGAAACGGTAAGTAACTCGTTTTCTCACGTTGGTACGGCCTTGTTGACAAATAATTTAGACGAACACTATCTATTTCACAGGCTCTAGAGCATTCAAAGCCTTGTCAGTCTGCACGCCAGCCAAATATGCGGATATTTTATGTGATCGCATGCGTTGCTATATGAAACCGGCTCTGGACAATGATTTTGCTGCCACTTCTCCAAATACTTTGGATTTCTATCGAACGAACACCAATATTTGGGATGCTCCTCGCCAGAGTAGGACTAATCCTTGGCATCCTGACCTTAACGATCTAATGTTTTATCTTTGATTTTCACAGCAGATTAGATTCCCTCTACATTTTTTGTCTTTTCAGACCTTCTCCGGAATTTTACACGTCGATGCAAGAATATTGAAGCAGGAATGCTATTTCTAGGAGTCTAGGTTTGAGCTTGCGCTTGGGATTGTTTTGTTTCTGAAGTTTTGGGGTGTTGAAGTGTTGAAGTGTTGGGTTCTTGGGCTTTTGATGTACTCTGGGGATAGTAATAGGGATGCTTAGAATTTTTCGCCATTTGGCACATGTATCTCCATGTTGGTAATACAACTCAAACTAATGATTTTGACTTTGCACAAACTAGCACCAGTGAGTATTTCAATGATTCATAGGCAGTGACAAGTGATATCTAATTTTTCGCATTTTGAAGGTACTCCACTTAGTATTGGCTTCCGCATCTCGCTCGAATGTCATTATCTTGACAAAGGAAACATCTTTTGAGACGCCAATAATTGCTTTTGTTGGCCCTGTGGAATATTTCAAAGCTGTTCATGTTGTCATTTGCGATTACGAGATTACACAGAAGAGCAGAGAGGTGAGGATTCCTCAACTCGAAACATACTCAGCTACCAAAGTACATACGGAAAAGAATATCTTACGAGTCATCGCAGAAATGGAAAATTTCAAAGTGTTGGAAGTCAAAGCAAGAAAGATACCGAGAAGTGAGTGGGAAAGTAAATACAGCACGGAAGTGTACAACGCTTTGGTATCCATCACTGGTAGGGCAAATAGCAAAGAAAATGAGAGTCCATACACACCTTATATCGCAACCAGCCAAGAAGCTTCCGATGTGACACCGGCTACCAACGATTCTGCCAAGTTGAAAGGGACTTCAACACCCAAAAAGCCCTCAGCCCCTCTACAAAAAACAAGCGCACAGCCAGCAGCAGCAGCATCTACATCACGCTCCGTTCCTCTAAGAGCAGACCTAGCGCATCGAACTAGAAGAGGAAGTTCCACTGTCAGCTCGGCTCCAAACCCTCGAAAGACTGAAGATAGAGGTTCTAGAGGGACACCCCATCAAGGAAGTCTTGGGTCTTCTCGTCAAGATGCTAAGAAAACTCTCAGCTAAAACTACACGAGCTGAAAGGGCCGAGAAGAAGAAAACCCTAAAGGCTATGACTAAAAAAACCGGAAAGGGAAGTTTCGGAGGTAAGGGGCATTACGTTGAGGTGCCTAAAAAATCGGATTATGTTAATTTTCACCCATGATTGTGACTCTCAGTCCAAGAATCTGAAATATCACATCATCTAAAATCTTTCATACTCCTCATACTCAATCCTCTCCTGGTTTCAAAAAAACTGTTTCTCATCAATTAACAATACTTGGTTTTCTTTCCAAGTCGTAATCTTTCTAAAAGTCATTTATGTTCTTACCTGACCCGATGAGATGAACAGCATATAGTTTAACTTTTACGGTATTCTACTATCATCCCCAATTAGCGAATTTGTATCCCTGAATGCAAGCACAGTTCGTTTCGATATCAATTTTCGGTATTTGGATCTGATCCTTTACATACCTAGGTACGCATGACAATAACAAGGTATCGGCGATCTTATATTATGGATCGGAAAGCAGTCTCAAAGTCTGAGGTCAGTTCGAAACCACTCATGTTGGTAGCAAAACATTAAAAGAAAATCGTTTCGATTCATATCCTATATTTCTTCTAAAGAATCACGTTGCATTATTTCTACCTTCTATTCATCCATCATTCATCCATGCATCCCGTCTATGTGTCCAGAAGCTTATACTAACCGAACAGGCTAACATTTGCCCATCAATCATCCATCATCCACCTATCGCAACCAAAAAAACCTTTCAATGCAATATTGTAATGCCAGACTTGGCTTCAACGCTCTTACCAACATTTGATGCGTTGTGAAGATCTACCAAGAACCCGCCAAGAGTGGGAAGCATAGCGTACACGTATCAAAAAGATCAAAGGTCTGACGATCTAACCTCAGAGTGTCTCTTCTCAGCCAACTCATGCTCCATAGTAGCCGAATTCCCATCGATACTTTCCATATCACCTCTATGCCAAAACTTTCGATGAGCCACTCTGATGAACCATGGCGCAGTACCACCACTAGGTTTGTATGTCCAGTATTCCGCATTGTCAGCATCCGGTGGAGCTAATCTACCCATGGAAATTTTTTGCGTCAGGTATACGGATCCATTGAGAGCGGTGTAAGTCATCAGACCAGCAATGAGTCCATATGCGACGGAATAGGTATAAGGAATCGAGACGATGGTGACAAAAGCTGGAAGGGCGTCGCCGATATAAGACCAGTTGACCGAAACAACTTGACGCATCATCATGCATCCTACCAATATAAGAGTACAGCCAGTGGCCCATGGAGGGATTGATGCGAATATGGGAGCAAAAAAGATTGATATCAAAAAGCAGATACCGGTTGTGATGGCCGTTAGGCCAGTTCGGCCACCCTCGGTTATACCAGCGCCAGACTCAATGAATGCAGTTACAGGTGAGCATCCAAACAAAGAGCCAATGGATATTGTCATTGCGTCGGTGCAATATGCTATTGTAGATCGAGGAAAATCGCCAGTTTTGGGGTCAACTGCTCCTGAAAAGCGTGCCATGGAATATAATGTAGCCGTGCAGTCGATGATATCAACATATAAGAATGTGAAAAGTGCTAATGCAAAGTGAGAGCCTGCAGCTGTGATGTCCCAATCTTGTGCAGCAAGAGTATTGCGAATTGGGTGAAACGCGACAACTTGTTTGAAGAATTGAAAACGTGATTCGCCATCAGGCGTGTAAGGAAAATATGTGAAGGTTGTACCGCGCCTGATACCACACATGTAAGCTTGGCGGAGAATAATCTCGTGGGTAACACTTACGGCCATGAAAAAATAGACACAATTGCAATGCCAATTATTATCGCAGATTTAAATCTGAATGCCATCAAGTACGCAGTCAAAAACCCCCCGAAGATAATTCCGATCCACATCTACAATGGCAAATCAGTAAGCATTCTGCAGTGAGAAGAAATTTGAAGTATATCTCACTGTAGGATTGGTCATCTGATGGCTAGTGCATGCTCCTGTAACGTCGAGGTACTGAGGAGGACACCCTCCCAAAGCGGTTGGAGTTACTGCAGAGCCAGTCATGGCACCGATTCCTGCGGAGTATGACATCCCAGTCTCAGTCAAAAACAGACCAATTCCGACACCACTTGCGACCTTTATCGAAGCAGGTATTACCTTGACAAGCCATTGCCGCATGCCAATCAGGGATAAGAAAACGAAAATAAACCCTTCCACAAACACAGCCGTGAGAGCCAAACGATAGGGAACAGTGCCAGTTCCATGAAACCCAACAACTTGATAGGTAAAATATGCGTTAAGGCCCATACCGGGGCTAAAAATATTAGTGTTCAATCGTAAGAGCATTCTGCAGAGGGACTCACGCCAAGGCGACAGGTAGATTGGTGAAGAAGCCAAATGCCAGAGACCCTATTCCTGCCACTGCAGCAGTTGCTGTAATCAAATCACGATTGATATCTAGATATAATTAGCAACGACACCAGGCTTTTTAAATTGATATATTTGCTGACCAAGTACACAAGCGGCGTAGGTAGAATCCATTGCGCATGACGGATCTTCAGTATCATGACAGATACAAGTACCACCACTCTGTGATAATACTGTTGACTTTGAAGCAATGTTAGTTATAGCCTATGCCCTGAAGTATGTTCAGCAGCATACATTGACAGCAATGATATATGCCATTGTGAAAAAGGTCGTCACCCCAGCTCTCACTTCCGTGATAAATTTAGCATTTTTCTTTTGCTGTTCCTGATATAGTTTAGCATTAGATAAATTAGATTTGCTATTGAAGACATACATGGCCACATCCATCAAGACGAAAAACTCTGCCAAATGTTGACTTGGAAGCTCTCGTATTGAGATTGTTGATATATTCTTTGATAGATAGCATGATTCGTAGACAGCGATACTATTTCTTGCCGAGTTTGAAGCACACGATTAGAACGTGGGAGACTCCTAGAAGTTATACAGTAACGGTAAAAAGCTTGAGTGATTTTCGGAACAAACTTTCGATATGACAGCGGAAGCATCTGGACAGAAGATGGAACTTTTCGATAGTCAAAGGTAATGGATCGGAATGTAAATTTCAATTTGCAATTCAATCAATGTGCCAACCCCCCATGATCAAAACAACAAAGACTTTGTGAGTTAAACCTTCCTTGTATAAAGTAGTCCTTGACCCTTTGAAACTGGGGATCAAGAGGGGTATCACTGTAGACTACCGCGGAGGACTGCATCATTCGGCAAGGGAGATAATGGGAACACAATGATAGGCTCAGTCTGGTTCGCAAACTAATCAACGGATAATGGCATTTGAGTAATAATGATTGGGGAACGCCTCTTTGTGATAGATCGGAATACCTTCTGAATCAACGTTTTCCGGGAATCATGTTATTCTTTCCGGTTAATTCTCTTGGCATAAATTTCAGCAGCCCGATGAGGTTCATAAGCATTGGATACCCCCATGGGAAATATTGAAATGATGGATGCAGGTACTACCACTTCCTTATATCTAATCAAGAGCTCTCATGAGTCTGTGGCTTCGGTTGTGAAACGTCAACCCCAATGATCATCCTGTGATACTCCTGCATGGCTTGCAGGACACAGCTTTTGGGCTTGGTCCCGACCATAGCTGCATGCGATTTGCAGATAGTGCTGAACACTGCAGGGTGTAAACAGATAAAAGACGACATAATTCGGGAGGGTGCATGTTATACAATAATCACCTGAAAATCATGACCACAGAGGAGATATTGAACTGCGAAGTGGATCAGACGAAAACCCATATCGGGTTTTATTGATTAATTCGGATGAAATGGAAGAATGGAAAAAGAGCGTTTAACGTCCATGAAATGTTAATTGATTCAAAGTTTGATTGACGAATACCGGTTTTGTGTCGTGAGAAGAGCAAGAAAATAGTTGATGTTGTGTGTGATGAGTTTGTTACTGGTCACAATCGCGAAATGTGATCGCGGCTCTTTCGGGATTAGACCTTTTTGGGTTAAAGGCAAGGTGCCTCCTTCCTTCCACCTCCCTTTATGCTCCTGCTTCCCCATCCTATTCTTTGCACCCAAATTGCACCCATCATCCAATGAACTGTTCAACCATGTACAGCATAACTTGTGATATTGGATATCTTCCAATTTCTCTTGCTTACTAAGGTTAAATGCTGTGTTCTCCAAAAAACTGTTCCATCATCCACCTTTCAAAGCCACTAGCCGAATTGACGACCTGAACTTACTCGGCGCACGGCATGGTGCAGTTGGATGATGAGATATCATGCAAGAAGTATGTGAGAGACTCCAAGAGGAGTGGCGCTGATCCACATCCCGCGAATTGCCATCATGCGAGTGGGAAAAACTCCTCGCATGAGCGATAAGATTTTCAACCTCCTGAAACAAACATCATGGTAGGACTACCCAAAAAGCATATATCACAATGAATTTTTATGAATCATTTCCACGTATACTTACTAATGTTACTTTCCCTCTTGATCATATCGTTGGATTTCAAGGGTACTTTCCCTCCTTCCATTGGCAGACTCAACCTGCTACAGACCATACTTTCTAAATATGTTCGACGTTTCATGGACTGATCCCACACGGGAGACCGTTGGCCAGAGAAAACATCGTAAAGATCAAACATCCACTAGGGGATCGTCTCCATCAATAAGAAGTTCGAAGTCCAGTGATTCTTCCAAGTCAATCAAGCACTCTATCTTTGGATTTTTTGGAGGCGGCAACAAAAAGATATCAGCTCCAGTAGCTGTGACATCTCCAAAACAGCCTTCAAAAGTTTCCCGTCGAACGTCAAGCTATACTAGCACTTCAGAGACATCAACATCAACTCAAGAGGTACGTGAAACGACTACGACAACTATTACACGTATTCCAGTAAATGGATTCTTTTCAACAGTTCCATCTTATCAAGAATCCGAGAGAAGTCCTTCGGACGGTGAGTTTCACTTCAATATCTTTGATCTCAAACTAAGTCTGTCTAGAGTCCGTTTTCTCTGGTTATACTGGAAGATCCGCGGGAACTAAGTCATCATGGGGCTCCATAACAGATGGACAAAGCAAGAATCGTTTCATACAGCCTCTGAGCCCAAATTCTTTTGTCACTCAAAGTACTGAGATCACTGTCGCCCCAAGTGAGGATTTCAGTGCATCAGAACAACTAGCTACTCTCGTCCATATCACTTCTGGAACAGTTCCTATCCAGATCCGAGACTCCACAATGAGAGAGTAAGAATCTATATCCCAACAGACCGAGCCTTTGCTGACGTATCAGATCTGCTTTATCATCAACTTCCTCAACATATGACTTTCCACTCCCACCTACACACAGTCCCGAGACCCCAAAGATACCAAGCTCTCCTAGAATACTAAAATCTAGAAATGATACCGGTGCTAGAACTACCGAGTGGTCCATTACAGCAAGGAACAGGCGCTCAGATTCATGGAGACCTCCTGAAACATGGGCATGCCCGGCAGAAGAAACAGCTTCATCAGTAGCCTCATTGAAGTCCTCGGGGTCTCGTCGAAGGAGAAAACCGCGTGGTCGTAATCGCTCACCTTCTAACTCGGAGCAGACTCATTTGCAAATGAATATTCGTAAGATGGAGGCAGCAAGCAATAAAATTATTCTAGAAAGGTTGAATGAAGAATGGATGGAAGTGGCCGACGCATCGGTATATCGAGAGCTCGAGCTGGAGAAACAACTTTGGATGCTCACTGCTTTGCGAGCCATTAATCGCGTTGCTAGAACCCGTGATGCTTCCAGGACGCTCAATGGAGCACCACAACACGGGAAAATGCTTTCATTGTATGAAAATCATGGTGAGTAGCCTTTCCATCATCTCCATTTACATACTCACAGGAAAAGCTTCTGCATCCTTTCTTTCAGCTTTGAATCCGGAAAAACAAATACATCATGTCTCCACAAACCCTTTATCGCCAAAATCATATCCAAATGTTCATCCTCTAGCTGTTCCAGGACCTACTTCACAATTATCTTATGCCTCAAATATCTTCGGTGCGATTCATTCTATAGGTCTACCATCTCTACTGCCCTCATCTTCTATTCCCAATATACTCAAGGAATGTCATCGTACACTCACCTCTTCTCGTACTTCAACGTCAGAAATTCCAGCATCGCCCACCGCGATCAGTCCACTTGGGATCACTCAACCTGGCGTCCTTTATTTAACCATCCTTGATCCTTGTCCAGTTCCCTCATCACTTGGCCCGCGACTGAGATCTTGGCTTGATACCCATCTAACAGTCAACTTGGAGAAGCAATTCCGCTGTTTGAACCCTACTCGTTTATTTCCTTTATGGTTGGCAGATGCAGGACTTTGGGCCGGAGGGAGCTGCACATCATCTTTGAAATTTCTAGCATGTGTTGGAATTGTAAATGGGGAAGAACAAGTAGAATGGCAATTGAAAAGTGCGGTGGGAAGAATGCTGTGGAAAGATATGTGGGGAACCTATGTTGAGGGTGGGAAATGGTGGTGGGACGATGCTGCAATTGTGGAAGAATGTGAGAGAATGGGAACTTGTTGGGCCGGAAGTATTATTGAAGCTGTAAAGGAAGGGTAAACCAGCGGAACCTTCATGCCTTGAGCATTTGGCTTAGGCTCGATGTTTATGGTTTTCTGATTCTCCATATTCACGGGAAAAGGCCTTTGGTTGCGATGCATATACCAGCTCCTTTCAATGTCCTTTGCTTCTGGATACTGAACTTATTTCGTGTAACAATCGATGTCAACGGTCGATGTCCAAACTTTCAGAATATATATTAATCCGTACACCATGAGATGCAAACCTAAACGCACAAGATTATGCTCCCAAACCGTTACACCTACCTGTATGCTCCCGTGGATGCTACCGCATATCTGCAGCCATCCCGCAATCCCGGCCCCCACCTTCCCATCCCATCTCTCTGCAGCCCGTTAATTTCATTACGGTTCCATTACATATTCAGCTCATTTCCCCTATCCTGCTTGTTCGCTTTGCTTACTTGGCTACAAATCATACGACGCAAACTCCTTCCTAAATAGTTTTCAAAATCCACTTATCATTTACTTTCATGGGGTCAACAAGTTCTTTGTTGCATGTCGTATTTCCTCGGTGGTCGAGTCAGTCGTTTTGAAGAAATGGGATGAGAGGTCCGGTTTTTTTCATTTGGGGTGGGTCGGTATGGAATGTTTTGATTGGAGACTGATATTTCGAGTAAGAATTATGGGGCTATGGAAGTGACTTTGAGTCATGAGCGGGGAGATCTTAGATTTTAGTTGTGACATCTTTGGGCGATGAGAGTCTATTGTGTATACGGTACGAAGGACAACGCTGAACGATGGAATTCCGCTGGATTGGTTATAGGGAACATTAATAGAATAGATAGAATAGATAGAATAGATAGAATAGATAGAATAGATAGAATAGGGAAAAAGGAAGAGCAATTGACAATTTTGTATAATGTGTTATACAATCATGCTGCATTTTATCCACAAGCCCACCCAAAAGAATCTTACTCGCCTCAGCGTCAGCACGTATCCGAGATCATTTCAGGGGTATGGTTCACGTCTTTCAACCAATCGTTTTTATTCTCATGAGGGATATCTTGATTCGTTTCTCTCCCAACTTTGAGAACTTTCAAAAAATTACCAGAAACAGCAACTTCATCCATTCCGGATGATCAGGTATGCAACAAACGTTTCTCTCTTTCTCTGTGATTGCACGATGTTGAGTTTTGTGGAATTTGTATGATGATGTTATAGAAGACTCGTATGAGGAGTGGAGTGACACCGTTACAATGGTATGGTGGAATCTGGATGTGAAACCATATCATAGATTTGTACGACTTTAGGTCTACTGGTACTCCGCAATAGATACATTCTGGTGATTCGCATAATCGCTATAACTCAGGCCGAAAGCTTTGTCATTCAGGTGGATCAGTTCAGCCTTATTGCGGATACATTTGAGCGTTCCAGGGTAAATAAATGTTTTTTCGCTCATACGCGTCAACACACTGTGCTGTTTTGGATACAAGTGAAGAAATGAGAAAAGGCTATAATAGGGCAGCGGATAAGAGGAATTTTGAGGTGTGCAACATTGAGAATTGAGGCGACTGAGGGCAAGGCTCATTGGTTACTACCTCTGTCAGATGGATAGCTCTGGATATATAGGGACATGGAGTGAGCAAATTTCGGCGCAAAGAGACGTGCAACAACAGATTTAATGTCGATTTCAAGCAATGGTATATATTCTTGAAATGCTCAAAGTTTTTTTGGTTGCTGTCCAATGGCTGTACAATAGAACCTTGACGCGCATAACACTCGAATGTGTTATAATTGCTTTGCTGACAAGAGTCAAACATTTCCTCGCGCCGTAGTTGCGAATCGCGCGTTGATCCCAAAGCTAGTTGCTATTGTGGAAGACAGAGCAATATACATTCCTTCTCTGCTCACCCAGGAGCAACAGGATCATGTCTAGTACCTGATCAAGTCATGGTTAATCTTCGGCAGTATATCGGTACTTGAAGGTAGTATTCCCGACTTGATCATGTGAGCCAGAGTCACCTGAAAACGTGACTGGGCTATTTTGAACTGGTAAACGTACTTCAGTTTCTTAATCTTCCATTTTGTTGGCTTGGAGGGCATACTTCTCGAGACTTTCGTATACTAGTCCCCCTTGGAGATGTATGACATCCTTTCATTCACATCGTCATACACTTGCTCTTTTCACAGGCCCAAAATTCAAGAATACGTGGTAACATTGCTGAATGAGTAGTCATTTGATGTCTATCTATTCCTAAGATGTGGTTTTTTCTCTCGATAAATTTGTCATTCTGTCTTACTTTTACAATTTATCTACACTAGGAATACTAGTGATCAATACAAGCTTTCAAAGGTAATTGGAGGCAAAGTATGATCATGTATCTTGACACTGGTGCAGCTCCTTCATGTTTAGTCTTCTAAGCTAGCACGACTAGCTTGAACCTCGTCGCAATTAGGATTTTATACTCTACAATTAGCTCAGGAACTTTTCCCCCGCAATATTGAAATTGATGAATGACTTCGACAACCATTGAGCCAGGCCAATATATCCCTATTCAGCCTAGCTCCTCCTCCCTTTATTCTCTCATGGTTGAAGTGTGATTTGTGGTGATAGGAAGGTTGAGTACGGGGTCTAGAGACCAGCGATCATTGAGAAAAGATCAGATAGCCTTGATTCAAAAGAATCAGAAATATCCGCAGCGAGTTTTCTGCCTGACTCATAGTATTTTTAGGTTTGGGCTGACGTACTGGAAATCATTCTTACCCTTCTACTGGGTCTTTATCGAAAATTAGCCATGACCTTGATTGGGAAGATAATTCGAGATTGAACTAAGTAGTAAAACTCTATTGATAAATGACATCTTGACAAGATATGATGGAGCTTTTAATACCTAGTAGACCTAGCTCAGTACTATCCCACACACCAACACCAGTAAACTTCATTTGTCATGAATTCAGTATACGCTATAAGTACTAGTTCGGAAAAACTCTTGTCTGTCAGTCTCTGTACACTTCATAGTCATCCTGTCGAGACTTGCTTAAGCAAATCTTGATTCACTAGATCCAAACTCAGTCTTAACTAGTAATTTATGAACTTTTAGCCTTCTTTACCCCCGTTTACTCGAATATATAAAGACAAATAAATCCTCTCCACTTGCTTCTTTTTTTTTCTAGAATCACAACAATCACTCCAAACTTCTCACAATTCAATTATCCACTGACACAAATCAAAATGGCAAGAAAACACAATCAACGACGAGCAAAGACCTTGATTGCGAAAGTCGAATACGAAACCAAACCTATGCCTCCAGCTCCAAAAAGCCCCTTCGGATCAGAGCTATGCAAATCCGTCTTTCTCAATGACTTAATTTTGGATAAGATCTGCTCGCACCTCGAATTCAAAGACATTACCTCGCTCCGTCTTACCACTCGAAAGTTCAAAGATCATTACGCAAGGGTCATGAAATCTCAATGGAGTATCCATAGGCAACTCTCCTACTACGTCTTTGATACTGATCAGTTCAGAGCACGAATGGGAATGCATAATGTGTTTATTACTGGTCAGATCGCACTGCAATTCTTTGATCGCAATAAGACCGGTGTCCCATTCAAATTACTAGATGGAAATGATGCAGCATTGGAAATGGTAGCTAGCTCTGGAAATCACGCACAAGCTTTCGCAAATTATTTCACTGAAAAAGAGCTCTATGTTCCTGATTTTTTGGGCTTTTGTATGTGTTGTAGAAGCAAGGGAGGCTGTTCGAAAGTAAGTTCTCTTTTCCTATGCCTCAATAACTTTATACTAATTATCAATTAGGTAAGACTATATAAAAGGGTTAAAACAGATGGCAGCATCAGGCGCATCCAGGTATCCTTCCTTGAGAACGATTGGTATCTTAGAAATGGCTGTGACTATGATTCCATTGGTAATGGTCTATACACGGTAGATGCTCTCAAGCATTCCTTGACTACGGCCCAAATCAACTTCATCACATGGAATAAAGCTTATTGCCTATTTCCAAACGCTCTATCTCAGCACAAACTTATCTCTTTCGAAACCACCGACACCGCTCGTGCCAAACCTAACTCTTCATCAGATTATGTCAAACGCGGTTGGACGTTAGATAAGACGTGGACTGCCGAAATGGGTCGATATGACGAAACAAGAGTTGGATTCAGAAGAATTGGAGATTCACAAACTTGGAAGATCGACTTGCCAAAACTCAAAGTGAATAGACGGGACAAAAAGTTGCCGGACGTTGTTATAGAGTGTTCGAACTTTGCCATCCGGACTCGTGAGAGATCGGCTTCTGATGATGCTGATTGTGAATTCTTTACAATGCACGCAGATTCTGGCATTTCAAAAAAATACAAATACATCTACACTTCCAATGCATATTTTGCATGCCGCGGTTGGCAACCACTTGGTTCTGACCTTATGGATTAGTTGGGCATAAGGATACATCCAGAGATAGGATGGAAGCTCTGTAAGATCACGAACCAAAGTCATCTTTTAATCGAACTCCATTATCGCGACGAAAGGAATCATCAGGAAGACAGACTCTCATTTTAATTTGATCAGTGCCTTTTAGGCTGTTGGGAAGGATTTCAAAAGGGTGGTGGACTCGTCATCTTTCAGACAATGCCATATACTTCATGATGTTCTTGGTGCTTCAAACAATATGTCATGCCATGGTACCTAGGTATTCATATTCTACATCTTAGAGATCCATGGATATACTCTTGCTTTTATACAATGCCTGCTCAATTTACTTTAGATGTTTCCGTAGAATTTCATTAACAAATTGCAATTGAAAAAAATGTGCTGCAAGTGTCCAATATCCTAGGAGTGCACTGGGCAGATAGCATAAGCCATCGATATCTTCTCTCAATGCCATAGTCTCAATATAATATCATCACAAAGAAAGCCTCCCTACACTTACAATAAGATTTTTCACAAAGACGTCTTTATCTGCCTTCAACCACACCGCAATATTCACATCCCCACTCACATCCTCACGAAAATTCCCAAGTCGCCAAAAATTCCGAAAAAGTAAAATATTCCATTAAAATCAAAAAAAATCAAAAAGCCCAAAAGCCAAAAGAAAGAGAAAAAAAAAGAGAATCAGGTTCGTAATTCATCACAAAAAGAAGCCATCAGTTTCCCAACAACCTCTCTGCGATATCTCAACTACATCCCTTCTCTCGATCTCGTATATCTACCTAGCACACACATCATATTAGTAATTCGCAAATTTTTGTTTCCGTATCGTACTTACCTCCAAGACATCTTTCCTCAAATGAAGAAGAAACGCATTGGGTATTTCAATCCTCGACTCGGAGCAAAGGACTAAAAGTTCAGTGTGATACTCCAAAAGACGGGCCTGGGGAATGAGCACAGCACCTGATGTCTGATATTCTTGGGTCGGAACTTGGAAATGCATGGTATGTATGTGATTTTAGGAGAATTTTGGAGATGGGGAAGCAATTTTTAGATGAGAGGGAGAAGGGAATTATATGAGGATGGGGTGTGATTTGTTCTTGTTTGGTGTGGTAAGAGAGTTATGGATGTTTGAGGTTTGTTCTTCGGTTTCTTTGTTGTGAAGGGTTTGCTCTTTGTGGATGGAATCATGAGATGTGTGTTGGGATTTCTTTGTCCTAGGGCTATAGCATGATTGATTGTGCATGATTACCAGTCGTAACATTGCGCTCGATAATTATCTCGGGTATCGAGACCATATCAGATGATATTGAGTATCACCTGTAAGGTGTATTATATATAGATCGATGGCAAATGTAGATCTCGTAGTTCGCGGTTCAATTAATGTCGACGAGGCCATACAAGTCGCTATACTGTGCAAAGGCAGCAGATCGTTGCTCCAAAAAATCACTATGTACAAACTATCCAACCATCTACTCACCCTCTCAAAGCGCCTCCGATATCCAATAGAGCCTTTTATCCAGAGGTATATACCGAAAGAGACGGAACGGCATCGTTGAGGAGATGAATCTATCAAACTGGCACTTTCGGAACAGGTAGCGACCGTCCAACAAAGAACAGTGATACAGAAACCTAATTTTGGCATGTTAAGAGGAGTCGTATCAGACATTAATAACAGATGACTTGAATAACTTCGCACATTTCCAATCAAAGACATAATTTGAATATGAAATTTTATTTGATGCCCGTTGTCTGTCCCGTAGGAGAATAGCTTAGTCGCTTTAAATTCCTTCTCGAATCCCCAGACAATGAAGTGTATGAAGAGTATGAAGACGAAAATTGAGGAACCTTCCAGTATCTCAACAATGTCTTAGTTGAGCAAATCTCGAGTACTATAAATGTTGTTGCTTATCAGTAGTTCTTTCATGTCTTCTCTCACTGATCTCTAAACATCGATTCATCAATCATCATTCACGACATCATGCCGCCCCCAACCACCATAATACATGTAATGAGACATGCTCAAGTGCGTATTTTCCATATGCCCCCATAGAAACTGCCAACTAATTCCTCGCTTGTAGCACGATGAATCTACTGGGCTATTAACGAATGAAGGGAAGGAACAAGCACTCAGACTTGCTCGCCTATTCCGAAACGAACGATTTATAATGGCGCAATATATCACCCATATATTTTGTTCGCCAATGCCTCGATGTCAGCAAACTGCAGAAATAGCCCTTGGAGATATGATTGCTCGCGGAATTCCAATCGTCACTGTACAAGAGCTCTCTGACAATAGGGAAGTAGGTCTCTCATTTATTTGGAGGTACATCAGTCTTCGTGAGAGGAATGAGATCATAATGATAACTCAGGGTGTTGTTCTGGAAACACTCCTCAGTCTCCACAACGTTGGTTAGTTCCCCTCCAATACTTCTGATGCCAAAAGACTTTGGGTAAGGCATGAATAACAGACTACCTAGTATATCAACCAGAAGAGTTCCCTAATGTTCTAATCAGGAGCTACCTTTTGATCCAAGAGCTTCACTATGTTCCTCGTCCAAGATTGCGTAGGGAGAGAGGGCCAATAGATCCACCGCCTGACTATTCAACCGCACGCTACCACATGGCTGTCGAATGTGCAAAAGTTTTGGTTAAATACGTACCGATCGTATGGTTCGTTATCAGTGTGATAGGTCTGATCATTTATTACACAATGACATCGTCTCAAAGGGCCCACTAGTGTTCGTACATTAAATCCACATTGAATCGATATCTAATCTTCCACGATGCAAACCCAATCATCAACCACTTGGACTGGACATTCAAGATCTTCACTCCTTAGCCATGAAATAATAGACCTAAAATTTAATAGATCCATTGTCGATTTCATCTACCTACTATAGTTTTGCCATTCTGCCAAGGGAGGTTAAAAACGATAGTCAATTCCATTTTACCATTATCCATGTCCACCAACTGAACTTTGGTTTGGTGAACTTGCAACGGTTAAATACATATCCTGAGACTAAAACATATCTTCTCTGTGCCTGTGTTGATTGGGAGAATAGAATTTCAACAAAAAAAGCTTCAAGCTATCCAGATGTGATGGAGACTAACATGTCGTCTGTTGCAGAAGGACTATTATCATCTTCCTGCAATAACAACTTTCAGACTCGCAGCAATGGACGAGCTTTGACTAGGTAAGCGAGTGTAGTTTGATGAGATATTCGATAGCGAGCCGGAATCAACAAAAACATCATGACCACCTTGTCACAATGTTTTCTACTTCGGATACGTAGAATTGGGACTCCGGGCTTTTTCTTTGGAAGTAGTAGCATGGAAAGAAAAACTCCCACGCTGCAGGATATTTACACAGTGGTGACATTGCAAACATCTGTTGAGGTTATCACAGACGAAACGCGTGGTCATCCCATTTTTCCTAAATAGGAGCCAGATATGAGCCAGAACTCGGGGTACAAATCGGAATGAAATGATGATAAAATGAAGGTGCTAATAATAAGTTATAAGTATCGTATATGGGCATGTATATAAAGCGGGCTCACAGACGGGGAAAGAATAAATATAGTCCGAGCGCCATTTCAGCCACACCCTGTACTAAAACATCAAGGTACAGCCACACATTGGCGCGAAATACTTGGTCGCATTTCCCATTTCAACGCGTTCCTGGCTCTAAAGGAATTCCATCAAATAACCTCAACTTCAATTACATTTCTGACCTCAAAAATCATCAACTCAATCAAGATAGCGATTTGCCATTGTGGTTCTCATCATCTCACCAATTTCTCAACTTAAAGCACAACTACACCGCCAACATGACGGACTATTCCCAACTCAAGGTCCCTGAGCTTAAGAAGCTCCTTCAAGAGAAGTCCTTGCCTATCTCTGGCAACAAGGCAGATTTGATCGCCAGGTTACAAGAATCCGAGAAAGCGCCAGCTGCTGGAGCTATAGGTATGTTCAATTGAAAAATGCGTTCTAGGAATCTAGAGCTGAAAATTCTTAGCAACAACAGGAGAAGATGAAATCGATTGGGACGAAGACGACGAAAAGAAACCAGCACCCGCAGAAGCTGCGATAACTGCTGTTGGAGGAAAAGAAGAGATCCCCAACCCTACCAAAGTTCCGAATCAAGAACCTGCGATCGATCCTGCCAAAACCACAGATTTGAAGGTTACCGGAGGCGAAGGTGTTCCAACAGCTGAAGATGGTGCAATCGCAGCCTCGGGTCCCACCACAACTGAAGTCGCACCTGTACCAGAAGCACCAAAACAGGATTTCAGCGCCGGTATCGAAAAGTCTGATGCGCAGAAAGAGGCAGAGAAACGTGCTGCAAGAGCCAAGAGATTTGGTATTACAGAGGACGATGAGGCGGCGAAATTGGCAGAACGTGCGAAGAAATTTGGACTGGATAACAGTAAAATTGTCGAGGGGCTGGATAGCGCATTACCGGAAAGAAGACAAAAGAGAGCTCGGGAAGATGGTAGACAAGGAGGAAGAAATTCAAAAAGACCAACACCAGACTCCAGGAGACCACAGCAGGGCCCAAGAAATGCGCAGAAGTCCTCTCCAAAGCCGCCTGCAGCAGGTCGTGTCACCGATAACCCGGCTGAGAAGGCGAAGGCGGAAGCTAGAGCAAAGAGATTTGCGACTGCTGAATAAAGGGACCTACAAAGATGACATAGCTATCTATCGCAACAACACGATCAGCTAGCGTTCCTGTATACTAGTGATTTTTTTGATTTTCCACGGATATCAGCGGCCTTAATTATTTACAAAATACCATTGATACGAAACATTTTCCCTCTCATGTTTTGGATCCCGTGAGCGCTTCAATTTCCCATAAGATACGTCAAAACAAGCTCTGTCCGTGCATCCTAATCATGTGCCATTTTCCACGGGAACTTTTTGCAGTTGTACTTTATCTATTTCAATGGTTTTCAACGTTCAGGCGCAAGGTCCATCCAGGTCTCGGACAAATATATCATTGTGAGTATGCAATAGTCGGAATTTTGAGTGTTGGGAAGAATAAAAGGAACCAATCGCCACTTATGATTTGAGCGAGAGATATAATAGGCACTCGATAGTGCCAGGGGAAGGTCGACTGAAATGTTGACGTCCAACAATTATCCTCTGAGCTTCCCGAAGGATCTGCACTATGCGTTCAATGGAACAAGTACCGCGAATGGAAATTCCCAAGTGACTTTTATAAATGTGATAGGAGTAGCAGAGAAAATGGTAAACATCCGTATCTACACGCCAAGAAGACATGCCACACCGATGCCCGGAAAACGGACTCTTGATCAACATTTCCTTCATCCAATAATATGAGAGAACGGTCGATTTCCCAATTCTAGTACGCCATCGATGTTCCAGACAGAAAACCAAAATACTAGAATGGAGAGAAGTAACTGGGTTTACAGCCATACATTTTAGCATCACGTTACTGATTTGGACCCGAAGTTAGGGAAAGGTGTACGTCTTCTGGTGGTCCAATGAGAAGGTCTAGAACCCTGCTGGATGGGAAGTCATCTATCACCCGTGGCTTGGAAATTGGTTGCGGTGCGGTCCTGAGTCCCGGAAAAAGGGTTTTCTGTGGGTGATCTCTTTATCACGTTTGATTGATTTGATTGATGGATGGATTAATTGATATTCCCTTTCCCCTCTTCTCTTCTCCTAAAATTCAAAACTTGACTTTGAGTGTTTTTTGGTTGAAAAATCTGAGAAATTTGCCTGCCAACGCATAGTGTAGAAACCTGCCTACCTAGACAAATTCCAACATATCGTGTAGTTTGGAAAATCAGAAGAGTCCATCGTTAAGGTTGGTTTCAATATGTGGCGTATGTATGTATCTTCTCCATCGTATCGTCGTCTATCATGTACTTCGCCACAGTCCAGCGACCCAGTCGATGATTTTCTGCATCGCATCGTATGACAACGCAACAATTTCGCCATTGTGTTGTGGATTTACTGCGGATGATAGGTATGGAGATGGATAGTGGCTAGGTAGACTTCAGCTTGTCTGGGAAGGGATTACGGTACCAAGATTTGGAGATGTGTATGTGTGTGTGTATGTACGTATGTATGTATGTATGTATGTAATGTATGTGCGTATAGGGTTCTCAGACCGGTAGGTGGAACGTGAGGGTAAGGACGCTCAGCCTCAACTGCCAACTGTTACTTCGGGAGTCATTTGTGCACGTACGGATTGGATGCTTGGAATGGGATTTGGAGAGTTCACTCGATGAGCGATTGGAATGTGTATTGGTATTGGGGATCAGGGTGTGTTTTTGCTTGATGATCGTAATAATATCTGGCTGTACTATGTAAGGCGAGCACAATTTGCTCTGTTGGGTAAGGGTATCTATCCTTGTACACCTATTCCTAGTATGTATCGCGTGTGCCGATACGCTTAGATAGGAAGTAATTGTATTGACTGACTGGTGACTTGATGTTACTGTTTGTGTGTTTATACGGTGAGGTATTTGGATTTCTTGATAGGCAAGTAGATTTAATTACTGGAATCAATCACTAAACGGAATACGTACTCTCTCCTCGTTTGGATATATCGCGAGCAAGGGTTAACGAGCTAATATGTCATCTATAGCTAATTGATGATCAAATTGACCACTCGAGTAGATAGGTGATCAATCCTTCAGGATCAATATAACGATGAGAACTTTGTATGGTTGAAGATAGAGGGAGACGGGTAAAGATATTCTGCACTCATGCTACCAGAAGAATCAGCCATGTAGCAAGATGACATTGCTCCGAAGCGGAATGGAAAGGATAAAGGTTGATTCGAGCCAGGTTCACGTCTTGAGAATAGGTCTTATAGGCTCGTTCAGCTAAACCCCAGATTCTTAGTATTGAGCCGGTCACAACATGAGATGATGAGAGGCCAGTTTACGGGGATTGTTGCTGAAAGCTGATATGGTGTACGATGTACGATGTGTGGTGTTTGATGTACACAGTAGGTAATATGTAGTAGATAGCCATAGTTGTCTAGTTAAGGAAGGCGCTTGACAACGTTTAGTCCCACACCAAGACCAAAACTTCAGTGACAACGGATGGTGAGCATGAATGTTACCAAAGTACAATGGTACCAACTCTTCAAGTAAATCACCAACCGACATCAGCATATACGACGATGGACTGGCAGAAGCGCAAAAGACCCGCTCAGCACATGGGCAGAGAAAGAATAAACCAACTGGTGTGTAACAAGCGCGCTTTGGAATCTGAGACTACATCGTAGTACCTCATATCAATCATTTCGATCATCGTAAGGATTAAACCAATTGGAGAATTCACGAATCATACCATCTTGTCACTTCAAGTCGATCCAGTCAATCTTTCACGATATGTTATCTATCATCTACCAATTATCTCTTCCTCTGGCCGT